TGATGAAATCAAAGTCAAACAAAATATGAAATGATGAAAATTACAATCTTCAAGATTACAAAATAACTAAAAGTCAATGATTAGTGTAATGGAAAAACATTCATGTATCTATTTTCAGAAACAGATTGTTATTTTCTACGGTACATGTCGTCGTAAACATTGTTAGTGAGTAATACAAGAACATTCAACTGAACTTGGTCGTTCACAAGGTTCGGCACATCCTGTCCATGATTATATCCAATACCCACTAAACGGATCATCATGCACTTTCAATTAAAACGGAAAAGTTAGAAGAAAACTAACACAATCAATTTAAGAGACATTGCATAAGGCCAAGACTCGAATAAGTCCTGTTTTGCATGAACACTTCAAGCTATGCTGAGGCAACCTGAAACCATCTGATAAATTAGACTGGCTTTCTATTGGTCTTTACAAAGCCTATTTTGGAAAAGGTCAAGAAACAGGAAATTTGTTTTACAGGCCTGTAAAACGAATTTTTCTAAAATAGATACATGAATGTTTTTCCATTACACTAATCATTGACTTTTAGTTATTTTGTAATCTTGAAGATTGTAATTTTCATCATTTCATATTTTGTTTGACTTTGATTTCATCATCTCCTGTGTCTTTTTGCTTCATTTTCTCAATAAATGCCTGGAACGTGATGTTCATTTTGTGTTTTAACAAGATAGGCAATATAATCATAGGTGGAGATAAGGGCTTGCTAACTGGATGACAATATGCTTGACTTGAAGCGTCATTTATTTGAATTCAAACAGCGTCTGAATGAAGGCGAAGGATACTCTAAAATCTACAATGTTTAAATTGTTGGTGTACCTGAAAATCAAGGCGAAGATTGTAAATGGTTAACTACTGATGTTAGTGCTGAAGTAAATCTTGTCTATCGACAAGTTTAGAAGCAGTTCATTGTAATTGTAAGATAATGAATGATAAACCTCGACATATATTAGCTAAATTTTATTCAAGGCAAAATGCTGTTTCTTGAGAAACGTAGTGAATTAACGAAATGAACAGGCGACCCAGGGGAGCGAAAAATTTTTAGAATGGGTATGCCGATCCTACTCTAACAAAAAAGAAGACGTCGAAATTTCGCTGTATACCGAAGTTTTATATCGTTCTGACCTCCGCCATCCCGTGCTAAATGCCTGTTTGACACGTCGAAGAGACATATTCGGCGGCCGGATTTTGTTAGATTCGATATCGCCTTTTTACTAGCCTTTTCTGTCTTGAGGACAAAATGATGCTCATATATGAAGACTTGACATAGCTTAATGTGTACTAAAGTAAATAAGTTCTTATATTCCCGGTTGTATGTGTCATTATTCGAATAGATTCTTTTTCTTATTCTACTGCACACAATTCCTTTCTATCTTATCGCTAACAAGACGAAAAGGACCAGAAAGAAAAAGAGAAGTTATCGAAAGGGCGATGTTTTTGTTATTTTTCTGTTCTTGAGTACAAAAAGAAAAAATTATTTACCATGAAAAAGCAGTAGCCATGTTGTTAACCACGTTTCTTTTAACATTTGCACTATTATCGATAGTTTACTTATATTTAAAACGCAAATATTTCACATTAGTTGGTCCCTTGCCGGGTTTACCTCCAAGATTCTTGTTTGGCAATCTGCTGGACGTAGATATTCTCAAGGGTGAACCGCTCGTAAATGTTTATGCTAAGCTACAACAGACATATGGAGATGTTTGTCAGTTTTGGGCAGGACCCGATCATTTTTATATGTTCAGTAAAGTTGAACATTTTCAACACATCTTCACTCATCGAAACATCTATGACTTGGCTGATGTGTCTATACGATTCTTCGGTTTACAAATGCCATCGAGTTTATTAGCTATTAAAGGTGAACAATTTAAGCGACATGCACGCGTTATGTTACCGATGTTTAAGAAAAACAAAGTAATATCACATGTAAATACAATTATTGATTGTACAGATAAATTAATTCATTTATGGCGACATGAACAACCAGAAGAACTAAACGAAAATATTGTCCAGCAATCAAAGAGTTTACTTTTGGATATTATCGGTTTCATTGCATTTGATTACGATTTACAAACGGTTGAACAAAGTGAACAAGATGAGAAGAAAGAACTGACCAAAGCTCTGAATATTTTCATTAATATGCACCACACGATTATGCAAGCTGCATTTGTTCCGACGATATTATTTAAATGGTGGCTAAAATTGAATTTAAGATATCAAAATGCATTAAAAACATTACAATACACAGCGTACAGTATTATCGCTAAGGAATCTGAATATACGGGACACCAGGTAAAGCCCAAAAATCTCATTTCCATGTTAGTATCATCATTGCAAAAAAATGAAGAAGATGAACGAAAAAAATCAGAAGTAGACAAATATGGTGAGTAGGACTGAACTTGAAGTTTTGTCTACATTCTATAAGAAAGATGTTTACTTTTAAGGTTTATCACGCGCAGAATTATTAGATGAAATTTTATTATCCATTGGTGCCGGTTTCGAAACCACATCGACTGCATTAGCATGGTTTATCTATTATATGAGCAAACATGCTCATATACAAGAGAAAATCAAGCAAGAATTACGAGCAAATAATATTATGGCTCAGACTTATCTGAATATAGAATTGTTGGATAAATTAACATATGTTGATTGTGTTATGAAAGAAGTTCTAAGATATGCACCAATTATTGATTGTACCGTGAGAACATTAACTCAGGACGATGAAATCGATGGTATTAAATTGAAGAAAGGTGAAAGCGTTTTAATGGCATTCTATAACGTTCATATGGATAAACGATATTGGAATTTGGATCCTCAGCAATTTATTCCCGAGCGCTTTTTATCTGAAGATAAAAACCATCATCCACTTGCTTTAGGTACATTTGGTGGTGGACATCGTGCATGTGCTGGTCAAGATCTTGCTCGGCTAGAATTAAAAATAATCATAACACGTCTCATGCAGTACGTGACGTTTATCGATGGAGGTCAAGAAAAGAATAGCGGTGGAAAACAACAAAGCCTTACCTGTACACCGAAGAATGTAGCTGTCTATATTCAGTTTGATTAATATTAATTTTCTCTACGGCAATTAGAATACATTTACTAGACATAATTATACAAACGACGCATTGACGATTTTTTTCTTCGACTGTGACTTTCGCAGAATGAATACTATATTCTTCAGATTCATGAAACCCTAGTTTTCCAAAAACTCTGTTACCTCAAAGGCTTTAAAAAATCACTTTTTCGTTAAAATAATACGTCTTAAAGAAACTATTGCAAAAATACATCGCGACTAGGCATGCATCAATACAATATATTGGATCCCAATAATATTGGTCACTCAATCTATTGGGATCAATAATTATTGGTCGTCCAATATATTGGGTTTTCACAATATTATTGGGTATTGGGTCACTTGAGTTCGGCCTACTTTTACAGTACAGGAGCATGCTTTATATCCTGTTTTGAATCAAAAAATAACCCAATTAGGCATGCATCGATTAATAATCAATATTAGGGCATTCAGCAAAGTCGTTCTAAATCAGTTATAAAAAGGCTCTTAGAGCTGCCGAACGCCTCATTTTGTAGGAAAATGTTTTATCTACCAAACGCGCTACAAAAAGTTTAATGTTATATATAGAGAAAATACAATAAATCGAAAACGCACTACAATCATAGACATATAATCGACAGTCGCTTTTATCGCAATTTTGCTCAGTTTTGGATGCTTATATTTCTGTCGCAGATAACACTAAAATGTCTTTTTGCACTTCAGTTTGGTAGAGCAAACATTTTTCTACAGAATGAGACATTCGGCAGCTCTAAGTGCTTTTCTATAACTGATTCGGAACAACGTTGCTGGATGCCATAACATCGATTGTTAATCGGTGCATGCCTAATCCGAACGGGATGTGGCTCCTCACGTTTTTATGAAGGTAAATGATATTAAGGTTCAAAAGTTGGAATCCAGTGTATTGTGGGACCCAATACTACCCAATATTATTGTACAATATTATTGAATAACCGATATTACTGGTCCCAATAGATTGGCTGACCAATATTATTGGAACCCAATATTGTTGGATAGCCAATAATATTGTACAATATCTTCAATAATGATTGGTATTGGTGCATGCCTAATCGCGATACCAACGCACTGCTAAATTCGTCGCGTTCTAAAATTTTAATAGCTCATTAAAAATGAGTTCATTAAAGAGGATTTTCATACTTTAGAGTTTTTTCTAGCGCTTTCTAATGCTTAAGTGTATACTCAAATCGGAGACTATTGATAGCAGTTCCAGTAGGGTGTACAGTTCAGGATGTTGTTTATGGAGTCTTGTTGTTCTATAAGAAGATTTGTTCTCCAGTACAGAGAAAATTTTTGTTTTTTCCGACTTTTCTAGTTTGTTGCACAATAAAGTTCGAAAACAATTTACTTGTTTTTGGTTCTGCATAAGGTGCGCGTAATGCAAAAGTTGAGCAAAACCATTTTTTCAATTTATTATACATCGTTCGATAGAGGTTTTCGAACTGATTACAAAAATGTATCTTAAAATGTTTCAAAAGTTAATTTTCATGTTGAGAAGTCGAAAAAACTCGATACATCACAAAAGCTCTAAAATCATTCAAATTCGAAATACTTCGAATTTTCGCGCTCTGTAGTAGTATATAAACTTTCAAAGTAATTTTTTCTTATTCAGCATCAAAAAATGAATAGAAGAAGGTGATTTGTTAAAGTTTAAAATTAAAGGCTGTCCAATACGGTTCTCCCATACTAGCCCCTGTAGAAATTTTTTTTTCCGTTACAACGCAAGAATGCAATCGGTGTGTTTCCCGAGCAACGATGAGTCACCGTTTCTTTTCATTCATTTTGCAGAAAACAGATTATTTAGGTTTGGTTGTAAACAGGAGCTAAAAAAACGAAAAAGCGCAATAAAAATGTAATAACCATTTTCACTGACTAAACTGACGGATCGATCGATCACTTTTCATTATATACACAACTACCACATATTCTTTTCCGAATACATCCATATCCAAAAAATGTAAAAAGAAAAAACGAAATATGATGAGTCATCGGTGAATCATCAACTTTTTTGCGTTATTTTGCAAAATAATCAACGGATTGTATCCTAATGCTATTTATGCAAAATTATGCAAAACATTATCAAATATATAACATGTTTATGCGCTTATATACGGAGAAGGCAAAGTACGTATTAGGCAACGTACACCTCAGACAATGGAATGACTCTGGATAATTTCACCAGAAATCTTCTGCATATATAAAATGTGCTTCACACTCGATGAGACTTCCAGCATTTTTTCAGCCATTCTTCATGACTACTTTTCTTCTTATGATTGCACTATTTGTATAACGACTTTCGAAAAACAGCTAAAATAGAGGCACGTAATAGCTTGCAAGGCTGATGCTTCATCGATCCTTACTTGCCAAGTACTTTCAGGAAGTACTTCTTAGCAATAAGGCAAGTATTTCGACCATTGACAAGTACTTAGCAAGTAATCAAGTACTTGCATCAAGTATGTTCTCTAGGGTTTGACCACTTGATATTATATTTCTATATCTATTATCTATATATTTTTAGATAGAACGTGAACGTGAAAACATCGAAACAGCCGTTTAAAACACTCTTTATTTTGTATTAGAATTTGATTTAATTAAAACAGAATAATGAATAACAATCTTTTTTCTCTTTCTTGTTATTATAAAGGGCATATTTAATGACTTTATACGCTTTGCATTTAATTCCAAAGCGTTCACGTACACTCTACGGTCAGTTACAAAGCGTATATGTGTGTTTTCTAGCAGATTCTCAAGGGGGAAATAGCGGACTCCTGGACTCCTATGGACTCCTAGGACTCCTTTGGACTCCTATGGACTCCTGAAGTCCAGGAGTCCAAGAGCAAAGTGTTCTTTTTTGGGAATCACTGCCCAAAAAGGAACACTTTTGTTCTTTTTTTGGACTGGACTTCAGGAGTCCAGGAGTCCATAGGAGTCCAAAGGAGTCCTAGGAGTCCATAGGAATCCAGGAGTCCAGGAGTCCGCTATTTCCCCCTTGCAGATTCTCCTTGGAAACCCAGCTTCATCATTTTCTAATTACTCACTGGGTTAGGACACGGTGGGCGCACGGCTGGGCGCGAGCTTGCGTTAAACCTTTGATTTTTCATTGGACTTTTCTACATTTCATGCCATTTTATGCTGCTTTGCTGAAGTAACAAGTCATAGAATCAGAAAAAGATAGCGGATAGAAATTTAGAAGTTGTCGTCCGATAACTTTTGGGACTAGCGCATCCTGAGCAAGTCATTGTGGTCGTTATCCTTTGCCGTACAATGACTAAAGAAAATCAGTGTTCCTGACCTTATGCATCCTATTATTTTTGTATGAGGTGTTACCTTTTAAAAGAGACATATACGCGTCTTATTAATAAATTTAGCATTGTTTTCAAGAAAAATTTTACATATCAAAATTTGATGGTTTTTTTCTAGAGAAGCGTACCTCGAGATTTTTGCACATATCACCGGAAAAAGGTGACCGCTGGAAAACTAAGTCCTTAGTTTTTGGTCAGAAAATGTCACAAACGATTAGGTATAACATGAAAGTTTCGACCGCCGAGGGCGGTCGAAACTTTCATGTGCATTTCTTCGCTTAAAGGTGAATTTGCAACTTGCAATTCACCTGAAGAATAATCAATGCCTTTGTAACAAACAAAACAGAAATACTCTTTTCTTTTCAACTTGTATCATTTCTCAATATTGTTTAGGTGAGTTTGAAACTCTCCGTCCCGTTCTTCACAATTTGCAACTCACCTGAAGTCACTGTCATTGTAACAAACAAAACAGAAATACTCTCCTGTATATATAAATAGGAGTACAGCCTGTATTCAGAAATAGAGTACAGCTTTAAATTTCTTTAACTAGTCATAAGCATTGTTGAACATTATAACTTTTTCTGTAATTCAATTGTAGCAGAGCTGGTATTACAATAAAACGATGACACAACACGAAGGTAAGATGAGAAAAATCTTATATGTTTAAGATTGCTATAACTCGATTTCAGGACAATACTGGATAATTAAGCTCTGGTTAGAAATAGTGAAGAATTCGAGTTGACTTGATTACTAGTAGTTCATTTGCAAAATCAGTCAAGAAGTTGAATCGGAGAAGTGATGTTTGTTAGAGTCTCATTTCTCTCGATTCATTAATTACAGTTCAGCTGAAGTCTAATGAGCTTTCAACCAGTGAGTTACTCGTAATAAATTTCTGTTTATTTTTACTTCAGATCAAATTAGAAATATTCAATTATGTTTTACACTTTTATTCACGAGTGCTATAATAAGACGTTAAAAGTAAAATAATATTATGCCATGTTTAGTTATCAAAAGTAATTTGTCCGTTTAAACTAACGTAATAAATAGATACACAGTGTTATTTTTTTGAATTCTTCATTAAGAAAACATTAATTAGTAACATTTGCGTTTTTATTAACTATCATTCTTCCTTAAGTTGGTCCTGCATATGGGCACTAACGAGGGAACCTTTTGAAGTGATACCCTGATTATAAGAAAAGAAAAAGATGAGTTTATTCTTGCTACAAACTCACTTTCTCTATTCGGATTTTGCCCAGCAAGCGTCAGGAATGTATCGGTTTTATCGATAAGAAGCAATAACTATGATAACGACAATGGGTAAGATACGATAAACCTGATAAATTATCATTACCGTTGCATGCCTAGTTCTGACCAAAGCTGAATGGTAAATGGGAAGAAGGATCTGTCCGTTGTCACTGAATCGAGTGTAACATTTTTGAATGTTAACAGGCTAAGTTCTATCTTTTTCTGTTCTTCCGATATGTCAAATAGCAAAAGAGTGACATTTTGGGATATACGAAGAATGTAAATTGTTTTGTTGTCATTTATTTCTTGACAATGGTACGAGTCAGTACCGAAAGCTCGAAATCGACAAATAAAATTATTGAATTTGGTTAAAATTCTTAGTATGTATTTTGTTGCGGTCTTATACAAATTATTTTACTGAATATGATA